CATCAGACGTGTGGCCTTGGACCTATAGAGCTGCGGGCTCTGGAGACTTCCACCCTTCCGGGACGGCCCTTGAGAGGCAGTCCTGACCCCAGCAGTGGCTGTGAGGCCCCAGCTCCACCCCTGCTCACATCTCCAGCCACAATGGACCCTCAGGCTCCCCAGCAACTGCCTGCCTAAGCCGGCATCCATACTGCCTCAGCCCCTCTGCCATTGCCTGGTTAACACCCCCGCTGCCTTCAAAGCTCGGTCTAGTCCTTGTTCCTCCAGGAAGCAGGGCTTCTCCAAGCAGGAGGGCAGGATGGCCTGCTCCAGCCCCCACCTGCCTCTGTGAATACCCTCGCCCCTGCAAAGCAGGACTTTGTGAAGGAGGCACTTAAGCCACCTCTTCAACTGCCCTGTTTTGTGCCCTGTGAGGCTGTACACTCACACCCAGTTGCATCCACCCTCATGTGCCCTGTCTGGCACCTACCTAGACAGTGCCTGGTATATAGTAGGTATTCAATGAAACTACATTGAGGACCAGGGGTTTAGCTCAGTGGTGCTGAGCCTGCCTTGCAAGCACAAGGTCCTGAGTTTGAACCCCGGTACCACACATGCACAAACAAAAAAATGCCATATGGAGTCAGGAATGGTGGTGCACACCTGTAATCCCAGCACTTGGGAGGCTGAGGCAGGATCACCGCAAATTCAAGGCAAGCATGGACTGCATACATAGTCTAGGGCCAGCCTGAACTAGAAAGTGAGACCCTGCCTAAAACAACAACAACAAAACATTTAATAGAAGCTTGAGCTTGACTCTGTGGCACACACCTGCATTCTGGTTACTCAGGAGGCTGAGGTAGGAAGATCACAAGTTCGAAGCAAGGGTGGCCTAAGCGACTCAGCAAGATCCTATTTCTAAATATATAAATAGAAAGGGCTGGAAATGTAGCTCAGTACTCCCAGATCCAATCTTTAGTAACACACACACACACATGGAGAAGGAGGAGGACAAAACAGAGAAGGAACAACATAATATTGAGTTTCAGAGCTGGACCCCAGAAGTATCTGATTCCCAGACCCGACCAATTTCTTCCCAGGTAATTGGAGGGTGTTCCTTAGCTTCTGATGCCTGTTTCCTCATCTGGAAAACAAGGATGAGTGAGTGTCTCCCAGAGTTGCTGGGAGGCTTAACTGTTAAAGTCTAGGATGTCTTGGGCAGAGGCCAGCACATGGTAAAAGCCACGTGAAATGGGCTCTGCAAAAGCCTGTGTGGCCTCAGTTTCCCTCTCTGCACTAGGAGGACACTGGAACACACAGAAAGGAGACTACACTGTGCGTGGGTTTGTGGTTCAGCCTGAACGCCAGTCCATCAGAGTGGCTGCTCCCTCTGGGCAGGGCCAGACAACGGACATTTCCACTGCACACTCACAGCGGAGACTAACTGGTTTCTGGGTCACCTGCACTCCATCGCATACGGTTCACATCGTCGCTTGGGCTGGGCTGGCCACCATGGGGACACAAGGTCTGGCCTTGCCCTTGGTCAGCAGCCCATGGCCCCAGTGTTGCCAATCAATGTAGGGTTCTTTTGCTCAATTCAGATGGAAATCGTGAATTGGCAAAGCGCAGCTCCGCTGTGGTTACTCAGTGGCCCCAGATGACACTGGAGGTCCACAGCAGACTCCGCAAGCTGCTGCTTGCTGGTCACCACCGTTGCTGGCCACCTTCACCTAGTGCAGCTCATGCCAGACATCATAGGCTGTCTCTTTCAACATCATAGGGTGCAGGTCTCTGTGGCTGGGCTTTGTGGGCTGTGGGACTCTGGAGCTCTTCACTGCTGACAGCTTTCAGTGTCTACAGCTCCTTCTGAATGGTCATTCTGCCTACACTACTCAGGGTGAAATTCCCGAGTAGATTTACAGGAGTTTTGGAGCTCACACTACTGAAGGAACAATTCAGAAGCAGCTTTACAGCAACACCAAAGTGAGTTTCCACTGTGCCTGTGCTGTGGCATGGAAGGTCAGAACACTGGAGGGGCCTCCTAGATGGAACCTGAGAAGAGAGCGGGCAGTGCTGCTCAGGGCTGGGGCTGAAACCAGGGAACCTTCTGGGAGCCTTGCTGTGAAGGCCGGGTCATAAATAAAGGGCCCAGGGCCCAGGGTTTAGATTGGTGGTTCTACTGCTTGCCTTGCAAGTGCAAGGGCCTGAGTTATATCCCTGGCACCAATAAATAAATAAACAGCCCAGATCCCTCCCTTCCCGACCTTTGCCACACCAGGGTGCCCTCTCTTTTCTTCAGAAAGGCCACAGCAGTGTCTGGAGTGGGAGAGGGGCCCCACAGTCTGGCTGTACTCATGTTGGACAGGAGAGCGGTAGCTTGATAGCCAGAGAAGGCAATAAAGAAAGCCATCCCCATCCATTGGAGGGGAAAGGGAAGCAAAGGGAGGAGAGAGGAAGGGGTTCATCAGCCACTGGTCAAGCCACAGCCCTGCTGAGAGAGGCAGCTGCTTCTTGTCTGTCTCATCAGGGCCGCTTGGATGTGTGAGCCGGAAGTCTGGGTCTCACCAGCAGGAGCTGGGAGGCAGCACGTGAGACATAAAAATAGGTAGGGAGGAGACATGGAAATTCAAAAATTTTAAATTTTATTTTTAAGAAAAAACTGCACTGTTAGGGCACAAAGTTACCCAAGGTCACAATGCCTTTCCCCGCCCCCCAGAACATTTCTAAGAGTCTTAAAGCTTGTAAATCAAGGCTGCGTTCTTCCTCTGTCTCACTTCATCCCCCAGGAAGCAGTATATCTCAGCCTCAGAGGCACGGAATTGATTTGCATTCTAACCTAGCCCACCAAATGGCCATCCTGACAGGCAGTATGAACACACACACTAGATCACCCATCTCGAAGACACCTCAAGATCACATCAAATCACCAGTCCCAGACCATCTATCGAGGGCCCACGTTCTATTCTGAGTGCATATTTTAAAAATTCTGCCTATAAACCACTTTTCAATTTTTTAAATTTTAGTTTTAATTTTTTTGGAACCAGGGATCAAACTTGGGCCTTTGCCCTTGCAAGGCAGGCTGCAGAGCCACTGAGCTAAATCCCTGGCCCTTAAACCAAATTTTTTTTTTTTTAAAGACAAGGTTTGCTATGTATTTCAGGCTGGCCTTAAACTTACTATGTAGCCCAGGTTGGCCTCGAACTTGTGGCAACCCTCTTGCCTCAGTCTCCCAAATGCTAGGATTACAGGTGTATGCCACCATGCCTGGCTCTAATAAAGCGTTCTAATGCCTCTCATTGACAGTCTGATAATTTGTTGAGACATAAATCAGTGACTCTACAACCTACCCTGTGGCTGGGGTGAGTTGAGGTCCCCATATTCTCTTTGGAGGACCTCCAGGGACTTTTTCTGATGACAGATCCACCCCAGACCCACAGCCCCAGAGCATACTCTCCTTATGTGACATAGCTTCCTCCTAGAGGCTGCAAGACTCCGATTTCTGATCAAAAAAGACAATCTCTTTCGTATTTTGATAACACTGAAAAAGCTGGAGCTGTTAAATTTATCTTGGGGAGCTGGGGATCTAGCTGAGGGGTTCTGCTGCCTGACTCACAAGCTCAAGGTTCTGATTTTGCTCCCCAGTACAAAAACAAAAATCTGTGGTTTAATTTATCTTGGGAAAACCACAGAACTGGTTTATTTGGCATTATGGAGCCTTTTACTGCTCTCGGTATAGGATTATTTATCAACTGTTTTGTATATTTTCAGTTTTCATTTCGACATACACTCTAATTATAGCTATTATAATAAAGTATCTTAACAATTTAAAAAATAAGGGCCAAAGGGCCCTAGATTTAGCTCATTGGCACCGCACCTGCCTCACAAGCCCAAGGTAACAACAACAACAAAAAAGCTACACCAATCCCAGTGGGTTTAGTCTCCGCCATGACGAAACTGGGACTACAATTCCCAGCATGCCGCGGGCCTCTCCTGGCTTGCTTAGGCTCGCCCCAAGGCGCGGACTACAACTCCCAGCACACCCCGGGCCCCAATTTGTCCTAAGTCCGGAAAGTCCGCAGGCGCCGACCCACGTCCCGGAGTGGGCACCCCCCGGGAAAGGAAGGTTTAGCCGTTCTCTGCGGGGTGGCGAGACCGGTGCAACCTCTGCCATGCTCGGCACACTGGCCCGTGCCGCGACCTTGGGGCTCAGGGTCCCCTGGGCGCGGGGATCTGGGAGCCGGGTGGAGGTCCAGGCCCACGTGGTGGACCTGCGCAGCGA